CCCTATTGTTACTAATTATTATTTGTCCTGTCTATTTGATTCCGATCCACTCCACCACTCAGAAGGAGGGTGTGAGACCAGCAAAGGGTACTGCTCATTGATCACATCACTACTAGAGATGAGGGTATTCATATATGAATACGAATGCCCCTGCACAGGTGGACATAACGAAGGTCTGGCCCCTGAGGCTGGACCATCCACTCACCTGTCCGCTGCTGCTCCCGTCTCCACCTTCCCCTCCAATCGCTCTGGAGTTTGTGGTCGGCTAGACACTCGTCAGCCTGGCAGAGAGGCTTGTCTTCCCTCCTTCTGCCAGGAGTGGCTAGTCGACCACAAGCTCTGGAGCAATAGGAAAAGAATGCAGAGCCGGTGACAACAGCAGACAGGCAAGTGGACGGTATGGCCCCAGGGGGCCGGACCCTCATTCTATCCACATATGCGGGGATATTTGTACAGTGGTGCCCCATCTGACGACGATAATGCATTCCAGGAAAATCGCTGTTAAGTGAAATCATTGTCAAGTGGGAAAAAAAATTGGAATGCATTGAAAACCGGTCAACGCGTTCCAATGGGGGAAACACCTCATTGTCCAGTGAAGATCCTCCATAGGGCAGCCATTTTGGGATCCCTGTCTTGCGAACAATCGGTCCAGAAAACAGCGGGGAGCCATTTTGCGAACCGCCAATCAGCTGTTTCTAATTGTCGTATAGTGAAAAAACGGTTCCCAAAGCAGGGAATTATTCATCGTAAAGAAAAAAAAACCATAGACACATTGTTTTGCAATAGCTATAGTCATCGTAAAGCGATTTCATCGTCAAGCGGGGTCATCGTCAAGCGGGGCACCACTGTATTTGTATATGAGTACCCTCATCTCTAATCACTACTCATTCACACACGGACAAACAGAAATTGGGGCAGGAGGATGGCAAGAGGGTTCTAAAGGTAGACACTGGGGCCCCTATTAGAGGATGGCTCTCTGCAGTCACCTGATAATGTTAACCCACAAGTTAGCCCCTGTATATGTGCATTATGATATCAGTATCTTCCATGCCTCAGACAGCCAACTCAATGCCATGACCAGCTATAAGACGTCAAGATATGCTGCACTTCTTTAGTCTCAGAAACCTCTGGCTCCCTTCTATCTTTCCAGGCTGACTGAGTTCATCAGGAACTTGCTACTTGCTTAACTGTGGGAGACCAGCCACTGCTAGCAGTAAAACTGGGGCACCTGACAATATCAAAGAAATGAGAACATCTGGTATCAATTATGTTCTTTTATATTCCCTGGGTTTAAATGATGTACAGAAGGGAAAGGGAACACACCTCGCCCCTCTTTCTAGGCAGTTAAGGCAAAAACAAAACACTCTGACGGAAAGGTCTTTCAATTTCTGTCATTATCCAATCAGCAGAGGATGGTCCATCCGTTTTTTAAACCGAGGTGCGACAAAAAACAATTTTTCAAAGCTATGTGTAGAGTTCCAACAAGCACTTCTAGATTTGACCTTTTCGCTCCAGATTTTTGGTGAAAATGTGACTCCCCAGACTCACTGAAGTTGCCCACCCCTAGCTTGTTTCCCCCCCAAAAAAAGTTAGGTCATACTGTATATTAGGGCAACAAGGTGCTCTGAAATGCAGAAGACTACATGTTCCCCCTCTCTACCACCACCTTAGATGCTGTCCTTGGACTCTGATACTAGAAGCTGATTTACTGACAGATTTACAGCAAGCTACCAACATGAATTTGACCAAACTCCGGGAGGCAGTGGAAGACAGGAGGGCCTGGAATGCTCTGGTCCATGGGGTCACAAAGAGTCAGACATGATTTAATGATTAAACAACAACAGGCAAACATACATAAGATCAACTGAGATAAATTAGAGGGAGGGAGGGATGTTATAAACCAGGGTTTGGCTAGACATGGGCCATAATGGCCCACACCCATTTCAGAAAGCCATATACCTCTGCCAGGAATCTGGAGGATTCATTCCCCCATTAATAATGCTGCCCCATGAAAAGTCAAACAGCAGCAATTCTTTAAAAATTCAGGACTTTGCCTGGACAGTAGGAAGCTTTTAGAAAATGCAAGAAAACGTTTGAATATACGGAGGGAGAGGTTTGCCCAAGTTGCCCATCGATGCTATAGTATAGATGCAGCTGCTAGCTATCGGAAGAGTTCCCTTCTCCTTTTCAGCACCCACTTTCTGTCCTAGGAAGTTGCCTTGTATCACATTATTTCTCCATCTAGTTCAGTACTGCCTACTCAGTGGCTCTCCAGATCTCAGCAAGAGAGAGGATCTCCATCTCCCAATATCTGAGCAAGGATCAAATCTGGAATGTTCTGCCATCAAAGGATGTCCTGCACCAGGGAGCAAAGTCTAAAGAATTGGGCATTCATTCCTCCCTAAATATATGTATATGACGGGGAGACCTAGGTTCAGGCAAAGCAATCTCCTGTACAGCTGGAGCCATGAAAGCAAGCTCTTCCTGAGGGAGGGCAATGCTGAGCTGCAAACATAAGGGGCAAAGCAATCTCCTGTACAGCTGGAGCCATGAAAGCAAGCTCTTCCTGAGGGAGGGCAATGCTGAGCTGCAAACATAAAGGAAATGTACTTTGGAAGAATACAGTGTGGCAGCCACAGCTCTTGACTTGAATGCAAGCACCCAAGCCAGAAAAAAAGGTCTGAAAATGGAGGATGTTGAAACGTACAGACAGCATTTAGCCATCTGACTTAAGCAACCTTAAGCTGCAGTGTGCTGGGTGGGTGGGTGTTTGAGTTCTCTACCTTTTTCAAATCAGAACTTTCCCTTCTTGACACGCCACTCAGGAGCTTTTTTCCTTTCGTTTTTTAAAAAAAATATGAGACAACATTCTGCCTTCCCTTCGGTAAATCTCTGCAGTAAAGGTAAATCTCTGCAGTAAAATTACACCACCTGATGCGCTTTGTGTCAGAAAGCTGAGATGCAGCCTAATGACCTGAGTGGAGAGAAAATTCTCTACAATCACTGCAACTTCCAAAGAGACTACAATTTCCCATAACCACAGAAGTCTCAGAAGTATGGAAATGCTTCATCTTAGGAAATTTAGAAACTATGTCACAGATCGCATTTCCAGCTAGCATTAAGGAATTACATCTGAGCTGATAATTTTCCTCACAAGTGCTGTAACTTAATAATGGCACCAAACAGTAATACTGTTTTAACAGCAGACATTTTGGTCAAACATGACTGTAACAGGCTGTATTAAAATGAGCATTTATAACTCAAAGCAGTGTTTTATTCCCCATTTGTCCCTGCTTGCATTTAAACAGAAAGAAACACGCCACACACACACACACACACACACAAACACACAAAGAGAGAAAGAGAGAGAGGTCTTTTTTCCCATACTATACTTAATGTATAAGGCTTTCTGACACTCCTATCAACATCTCATCTCATCTATTTTATTTACTTATTTTGCCATCTAGAATCTTCTTTCCCAAAGCAAAGAAGCAAAGTTGTAGTATTTTGGAAACTGCCCCCTCTTCCATTTCAGGCCTGTGAGTCCCCGTTTGGGGATAAGCAAATGGAAAATTGGCCCCTGTAACCACCAACGTTGCCCACCCAATGTTCAAAGATGGCCCATCTGAAAAAGCTGAAGGCTACTAAATTCCCAGTAAGAGTTTTGTATGACTTCAGCAGATATGTTAATTTCTGGTGGGCAAAGAACAATGATGTGAACAGGCATTTTTCCATACAATAAAATCCAGCAAGAGACAAACTGAAACCTCACTCTCTCCCCTCCATGCCCGACATATTATTAAGTGAAGTCTATTTTTAGTATGGTACAATCCTATATTTCTTGGAAATAAGCCTCCATCAGATGATGAGGACGTACTCTCAGGTAGGTACGTATAGGATTGCACTGTAAGAATGAAAAAAATATTGAATAACTGCAATTCCATAAAGTTCTTTTAAGCTCTGCTCCACCAAGGGGAGGGCCAATTACTAAAGACAGCTGCAGAAGCCAAAATTAACCTCCACTTACTGAATTACACACAGAATATATTTTGATATGGGATGGTCATATCAAATACATACAACACATACATTTTTAGCAACTGAGAGTGCAATCATTAATGTACTTATCTAGAGACCACCCTGCATGCTTCACTCCATTTGTTAGCATGCAAGTACAAGAATGTAAGAAGCTCATCCAACCATGAGCCACAACAGTCTGCGTTCTGGTGGACAACTTCAATGAGTCTCGAGACAAATTTTCTACCCCCAGAAACCACCAAGGCCGTACAAGCCCTTCAAATGAGCAAAAGCAATTTAAAAAGTCAGAATGCAATACTGTTCAGAAAGTAATCTCAAGTATCATTTCCGTAGATTTGGAGCAGATTTCAAGGCCCTCTATGTTGTTGTTGGCATAACCATCAACCATCATTCATGAATGCTTCCAGGATCAGAAATGTTTTTTGCAAGAAAGAGAGAGAAAGGGGGGGGGCAGAAGTGCATCTAGCACAGTAACATAAAAGCCCATATTGTACTCTGCCTTCCTCAATCTAGGAAAATACAACCGTTATACAGTACACCTTTCAAAGCAACCATTAAAGTCTCTGCTAATATTCTCTCTTCCTCTGTGTGTCACACACATTAGTTTTCAACAATGTGCAAAATCTGACCTTGAGTTGCGTGTGTGTGTGTACACACACACACATTAGTTTTCAACAATGAGCAAAATCTGACCTTGAGTTGTTCCAATGGCAGCATAATCATTAGCAACATGATCATACCAACTGTTGATTTGTTATTTGCACAAAGAAAGCAAGAGACACCAAACACTTGATGTCTAATTGCACAAAATAATTATCCCTGATTTCCCATCCCTGTGATTTTCCTGTCCAGCTTTGCTAAACCAAAAGAACAAGAGATAATTAAGGTTTCCTCGCTAAATGTAAGCTCTTTGTAAGGGTTAATGTTTTAACAGAATATTCAAACAGAAAGAGATACAATACCTGAAGAAGGTCGCTGAGGTCAAGCAGCATGTCTGAGCAGCAGTTAAGGAACTTAAGTGCATATTAATGCCTGATATATTGCAAGTAGATTGGCAACTGGGAAGAGAGACAAAAGCACTTTATTCTGATAGTACATCAAGACAACATCTCATATTGTTATCTAGTTTGGGGATATTTAC